CACAAAGTTCAGATAGTTTGGTGAGGCCCTCTCAGCTGCATTGTTTCACATTTCTCCCCAGTTGTCTGCGAGTAGGCAATTTAGAGAACTCTTTGTCATTTGTGTCTTCTGCAGAGAGTGGTGCTCTCCTCCCCATACTGCCATGTTGTGTTTTGCAGCACAAGACCAAACAGCCCAGACATTTCAAAGCAAGGTCATCATCATTGCAGGAGAACATGGGAAACCAGAATGGTAAATTAGATCACAGCTTCTTAAGAACCTTCCTCCTTTATCATCGCTAATGCTCTTTTTCATAAATTAAGCTATAAACTCTCAGGGCAAGAGAGTATATTTCCTGGCAGCCTGGATATCACCTAGAATAATGAATCCTCCTTCCTTCTTAAGGTGTCTAGGCATCACTGTAATACAAACTACAAATAAAAAAACTCTAGTTCATGGTCACAGCCTATAGACAGATTAATTAATGTAAGTTGGGAACACAATAATGAATTATTTTTTAAAAAGGAATTAATAAACTGTATTATCAAACATGTAAAGCTCAGGGAAGATGCTCAGTTTATTGTCTGAAAATGAAAGGTCTTTGCTTATAAATAGATGTGGAAAAGTTTTCAGAACTAGTCTGCTCGGGTCTCTGTGGGTTACTTTTCCAAGATATCCTGGTTTTTGCTAGGATAGGGTTAATTTTCTTCTTAGTAGCTAGAAAGCCCTGTGTTTTGGTTTCAGTGGGGATTTTTGAGAAGAAATGTTGATAACATACAAGGACACTGTGCTCGGGTAGTTTGCAAGAGCAGAGGACTGGAAAGGGGTGGGCAAGAAGAAAAGTGTAGTAGTTAGTAAAACCCAGAATTGACAGTTGGATATGCCAATAAGATATTCCATATCATACCACATCACGTTCAGTATATTAACCGGGGCTGACTGGAAAGGGGAGGATTATCTCAGGAATCACTCAGGCTTGCTTTTCCAGGATTATGATTTGGTTTTGGGGTTCCTTTTTGCGCCCCCAGGATTGTTATCAGCAGGTGGTGAGCAATTGTACTCTGCTTCACTCATATATATATAGTTGTTATAATCGTTATTATTATTATTACTATTTAAAATTTATTTTACTCTAATTATTAAATTGTTCTTATCTCAACCTACAAGTCTCCTTACCTTTACCCCTCCAATTCTGTTCCTGATTCCCTGGGTGGGGAGAAAGGGGGGAAGCTGTGAGTGGCTGAGTCTTGTTTGGCTACCATCTAAATTAAACTATCACACAAGAGCATTTGGATGCCTAAAAATGCTGGCCTGAGAAATTCAACCCTAGGAGTTTTTCTCCATCTTTTGGCACCCAGAGGTACTGGACATTTAGTGCTGTCATGCTTTGGAAGGAGGCAGCCTGGCTGAAAGGCCAGGCTGCAGAGCTGGAAGTTGAGAGTTGTGGTCTCTCTCCAGCCACTGACACTTTCCTGTAGTGTTAAAATAGGCCATAAACTTTTAATACCCTCTCCTGCACCTAATTTCTGCCCACTTGTAAACAAAGTGCAGTTTTGCTTGCTTTCAGAAAGTGCTTTAGGATCATTGAATGATAAAAACTGACTGGTCTCATTCTGGGGCAAGACTTGAGTTCATTGTCCAAGGTCTTGCTATTTTTGCTGACTTTGCCCACAGATATGCTAAATTGTGAGGTACTGCTAACTGTGATAAAGGCTTCTCTGGTGTGAACATATATTCATTAGGAACTTAACTGAAGCAATTGCTTCAGTTTAAATAGTTTAACAGTGATCTGCTGAATGCAGATTAGGCTACAGATCCTGTAGTATGGTTCATATCAGTGCTGAAGATAAAGAGTTCACATTATGAAATCCCCAATCCATTCACTCTTCTCCCCTTGCAGTGCAAAGTCTTTCCATCTTGAAAAATACTGATTATAGCACCTCAGTTTTCTTAGTATGTGTGCAGTCCTCAGGATCAGAAAGGACTTCTTGCAAAGAAGTTCCTACTTTTGCAGAAAACTAGGGTTGCAGGTGTGCAGACTGAATGCATATACATAGTTAGGGAATTAGGGGTTGCCACCATGGGAGTGTTTAGAAGACTGAGAGATCAGGGAACTTTTAAACTTTTAATTTTACTAAATCCATTTGTTAAGAAAGAACAGCCTTTGTGCTCATGGCTGAGCCCCACACATTCTTCAACATCATTGCTGTGTGTACAGAACTGTTGGTCTTTAATAGCCATAATGTAAGTCGACTGTGAGCATGCAACACTGCGGAAATGGTGCCCCACAGCTGGCATGGATGGCTGTGATTTTTGGTGATGCCTAGTTGTTGAGGTTGGGTGTTTAGGTTTGAGAGCTCATTGATGAGAGAAGCCAGAACTGAAGTGAGCTTGTCTTATTTTTTCTCTGTTTTTTTTCTTGCTTATGCCTGGTATGTTAATGCTATTTCCTGGTCTCAAAAAGGAGGAACTCATCTGCTCCCAGTATCACTTATCTTGTTTTTTGCTTTCCTAGTGATCCTTCTTGTGTATTTGACAAGTTGTCCTGGCTATTTCAGTTCCTTGCAGTTATCTTATCCTCTGGCAATTTTTGTTAGTTGGATGCCATCTGCTTGTGACTACACCCATCTTTGGTAGCCATGTTGCTCATATACTTATGCAAAATGCTTATACGTTGCACCTTGCTGTGCCTTGAGTGTTACAAAATACTTACAATCTGTTGTTAGTTCCACCATCCATGTACATATTTGAGTTGAAGGCAGATTAATATTAATTATATTCCAATTAATACATTTATAATTTCTAGGTGTCACAGACCTCTGTTTTGCTACACCTGTATATTTGCAGTGCTGTCCACCTTTTTGACCTGTCTTCCTGTGGCACAGCAGGCTTGTAGCCTTTACTCTCTTGCTGTCTTAACAGTGGTGGCCACACTGTGTGGTGACCTTGTAAAACAGATGGATATTTTGTCAGCCTTTCCATGGCTATTTCTGCAAATATTGAAATTGCAGTAGCCTGCTGGGGAAGAAAAGGAACTTTACTCAATGACTGATAAGGCTCTTTATAACTCTACCTAGGACACAGAAGCCTTTTCTCTCTCTAGGGAAAACAATTCTGCAAAAAAAAAGTCAAGGTGGGGGCCACATCTCTGACAATATGAAGTCGTGTCATTTGTACAAATGATGCTTGGATTCACTGGTCAGTTTGTTGTCTCCTCTTTAAATTCACCCCATTCACTTTGATTTGAGAAGCTGTATTCCTTGGTGGATAGAAGGTTTGAAGAATGAGAATGAGTTCCTCCTCAACTTTGCCCCCAGCTCTGCTACCATCTTCCCTTGTGACCCTACAAAAACCACTGTGGATGTTACTAAAACGCTGGAATAACAGTTAGCCAGGAAAAAAATGGTTTGTATAAAACATAATTTTGTCTTGGTATGGTTGGCATTCCTTGAGATAATTACAGGGAAAGTCATTGATTCTGAGGGAATGCAGCTATCCCAGTGCTCAGAAAGATGAGTGTCTGGAGGGACCTTATGTCTGGTGCCCTCTGCTCCTTGGCAACCCTCCTGGGTAGGACCACACCACAGGTGGCCTAGGGATGTGAAAAGGTATATACTGCCCACACTAGCCATTTGTTCTAACGGCAGGTGAGTCTGATCCCCAGGAAGCCCTTGATCTGCTCTTACTCTTAGCTTACTCATACCCTCAGTTTATTCATGCAGGGAGAAATCCAACATCTACTTTATAGCAAAAACTTAGATAAAAAAGGCAGCTGCTGTTTAGCTCAGTGCAGTCATTCTCTGAAGTTATGTTGAATAATGGGAGGGCTGAAATGCTAACTCCATTTTTGCTAGTGTCCTCATTCTTCCTAACTGATGAGATGTTTTGTCATCACCTGGATGAGCAAGCAAGCATTCCTGGCCCCAGCTTTTCCATTTACCTTCTTAGATAGTGAGGGAAAGTACCTTGGAAAAGGAACTTGCACTAACCAATGGAGTCAAAAGCAAAGGGAAAGAAAGTGAAAATTTGCTTTTGGGAAAGAGAGTCATGGATCATATTGAGAACTTAGACAAACCAAAATGTGGTAACAAGGTTTTTTTAACTTAACAAAGTGTCATCCTATGAAGTTCACAAAGTGGTGCACCACTTCCTGGGCCCAATGATAGATTCATGAGTTATCCCTGTGATTTGGGCCTCATCTTATGGTTCTGTTGCAGTTTATTGAACTATCAATTTAACAACTTAAATATTAAGAACATTCAATTAGCTCTCCTTGGGTCTATCCAGCACTAAGGAAAAATTCTATGATTTAGTATGTGTGTCTTGGCATGATTAAATGGTGAAATGAATAATATTTTAATGAGTGATTTGTAATTATTTAATAATTAAAGAGCTCTTATGGATGTTCTTGAACACCCTGTGGAAAATCTAAATGGCATGCTGATTTCATCAAGCATTCAAATCTAATCAGAATTTGTATTTATAGCATCATTTTAAACAGTCAACAATAATGCGAACAAAACAGAAAAGTATTGTTTTATAATAGCCTTTCTTTTTTAATGTAAGATCTTGATTTTTCTATTAAAAAGATTTTTCTGCACTACTGAATTGCAGCTGAACTCTATTCCGAGTCCTGCAGCAGCCAGTCAGGTTCCACCTGGGGTTCAGTGGCAGGTTAAGGGTGCATCAGTTTTGGTTTGTACACGCCCGATGAATGGTAGCCTCTTGCTGCAGGGAGATCTGTCCCATTCACCGCTGCCTAGAAACAAAGACAAAGAGAGACCACAAAGGAAAACAAGAAGATGTGAAAAGGGAACTTTTTCACTCCTGACATGAAATCATTAATCTCAGCTCAGTCGCTGGAAATCCAATTTTCTTTTAATTTGTGTTTCCATAGTATGTACATCGCAGCTTTGGGCAACATTTTAATAAGATGATGCTTTCTTTAGCTAATCCTGGAAATGTTCATCCCACAGGGATAACAGAGGTTCAAGAGCAAGGTAAACTATGTGAATCATAAATCATCTCAGTTTTTTAAGTCCAATATTCAGAGTCAGGAAAATTTTTATGATAAACAGGATGTTAATGAGTCCCCCAACAGCTCTGAAAAGGGATAACAGAGGCCTTTGAATGCAGGTTGTGAGAAATTCATCACTCCATTTCAAAAATGACCACTGCAGGCAAAAAAATAACTCCAGAATCTTAACAGAAGCAGCAGGTTGCTATGAAATTCTGAAAGCAGTTTGGTACGCTTATATTTGCTGGGATGGAAGAAAAACTGAATGGGGTCCCTCTTCCACATGGATGTTATGCTGTTATTGCTTGTGGGGATATCATTGTCCTGTAGTGCTGCATGAATAATTCATTTTATATTCCATATTAGATTAATTTCACCTCATCCTCTCTTTATGAATTATCCTCAAATAAATTGTAGTTTTCTTGAATATATTTGTTATTCAGAGTAGACTATAGCACTCATAAGTAATTCATTGCAGGTAGGTGACATTCAGAATTTGAGACGTTCAGGAGGTCATTGTTGACCTCTGTTACATGGGTAAAACTTACAGAATCAAATTTCTACTTCCAACATATGTTCACAAATCTGAAATTCGCTTGTTTTCACTATTCTACAGTGCTAATTCTAAATTCACCATATCAGCAATAGCTCCAGTAGATTCATTGGCTGAAATACTTGGAAGTAGGAAGATGTGCTGAATGAATTCATTAAAAGAATCTAAAAGAAAATATTAATGCAAGCTTTTTATAACACCAAGTCTAGGCTACTGACCAGACAATCTGCCAAACAGAGATTAAATAGAGAACTTATTATCCACCGTCCAGCTTCTCCTTTGAAATTTGTACCTCAACTTTCCTTCTTTAGATGATATAAATGGAATCTCCAGAATTTCCATGGCTACAAAGGGAAACTATTCACATGAAAACAAGAGCATTTTTAATAGTAGAATTTTTTGATCAGTTGAGTCATGAAGTTCCTTCAGCTGATGTTTGTTTTCATTTCTAGTCACAGAACACTTGCTTTTTGGTAACTTCCCCCTGTCCAGAAATGGGTTTCCTTCTGCCCTGAGCAAGTTTACAAAGGAATTAATTCTTATTTGCACTGGTTAGGTGACCTCCTGCTCTTTCAGTCCAGCAGGTTTTTTGCACAGTAGAGAGAGTTAAACATAAGAGATGTGAATGCTTAGAGTTTTGTGAATAAGAGGTAAGCAAAGAAAAATGTAGGACATATGACTGGGGACTGGAAAGGGACAGTGCCACAAAAGAAAGTCCAAGAAGGGGAAATCTAATAGAAGTGAAAATGTGAAGTGACAGGGAAATCCATGGAAAGCTTATGTTTTCAAAGGGAGGGAAATCACAGACTGAAAAAAAGGAACAGAGAAAAGGATGGCTTAAAAAAAAAGGAAAAATCTGAACTGTGGGACCCAGGCAGCTGTTCTGTGTTTGTAAGTTGGGCCCGTGGTGTAAGTATTTATGTGAGCTTTCTGTACAGTCAGAAGAGAACAGAAGGTATCTCAAGACTGTCATATACCCTCTATAAGAAAGGCATTGAGGGGAGGCATTATGAAGTGGCTGTCACTGGAGGGCCCTACTTAGGCATTTTTGACAAATAAATTCAGGAAAAATGAACCTTAGAGTGAAAAGAAGAAGTAGAAGAAGATAGGTGAGCAGAAGTGGAGAGATCTGAACTTGTCCAAAAGGATGCTATTTATGGTGCTTCTTTCTTATGAACCTTACTAGCTTGGGAATGGAATAGACAGGGACAGTTCTCCACTCGGAGTCTCTCCAAACAGACTGCGTCCTCAAGAGTTTGCCTTTCCATTTGGTAGGGAGGATACTTTCATCTGCGCCTTGGAGCAAAAGCACGCTTGTACTGGTGTTTAGGCTCAGGGGAACTTCTGGTGTTTAGGCTTCTCTTCACCATCCTGAGGCATTTTGATTTCATACACTCTTGCAGACATGGCTCAAAAGGAATATGGCACTCCAAAGCAAACATTTATGGAAACATTTGTGTTTGGCTTTTGAAAGCTACAGCAAGTATTTTTGATACAGGGCTTCAGGTTACAGGGTTCACCTCATATAATCTGAGCAGGTAGCAAGGTGAAGTCAGAATGTCTTTTAGCAACTATATCTTGTGAAGTTGAAAAAGGGTTCACTATTCATAAGGGGTTTGATAAACCACAGAGAAAGGTCCAACCTGGTAGGCATCATGCTGTGTGTTGTGCGGGAAGCAGAGGGAGAAATCCCTCAACTATAGCCCATCAGCTTTGTGTCCTGTTACAGTTAAGGATACTGGACTCCTTGACTTCCCTTCACTGGTTTATTATATATGCCTTATTTTACCACATGAGGAAAATAGACCCCTTGCTCAAAACCCTTGACATAATAAGGGAGGTAGGATGATATGAGAAAGGAATAGAAGCTCCAGAAGGTCTAAGTTCCAAACAGGAGCTGTTTTGTTGCTACTTGCATGAGTGTAAAAGTGTAAAGTGTTTCATTGCTACTTGCTACTATGTCCTGTGGATAGGCAGAGAGCAACTAACCTCACCAGCAGCACTAAGCTGAATATCAAGTACTTTTGGTCAACATTGATACACCAGAAGAGAAGCAGAAAGGGAAGAATAAAGAGTCAGGTACAAGAAAAACAGCCATGGGAAATAGAGAATAAATTACAAATACTTCTCTTTTGAAGATTCCAGTACCTCAGCTTGAGTCCATCTCATTCTTGTTTGAGTAAGTAGCATTGACCTTTGTAACTAATCCAGCGTTTCTGACAGATTTTGACAAGTCTGCTTTATGGATGAGTCCTGGTGAGATGAGTTGGGAATTACACTACGTGCAGGATTAAGTCTGCCAAAGATTAGGGGCAAGAACCAGGCATTGGAATGTTTGACTGTGGAGTTCTGAACACCAGAAAGAGACATAGAATAAACACAAAAGAAAAGTCTCACTCTTCCTTCCAGAAGACAGAGTATTATCTCCCTATTATCTCTTCTAATTTAGCTAAGTTAAGTTCAACATTCCACAGGGACATTCAGTAAAGTAAAACTACAAAATGAAGGGCAAATGCTAGTAGATATTCAGGGTTTCAATTTTTTTCCCCCTTGTCTTCCAAAAAAAACCCCAAACATATGAAGAGCACTAATTTAAGAGTCAGATGCCATTTAGGTTATAAGAAGAATTAGTTTGCTGCTGTCATTACAGGGTCCAGTGGGTGCAGCTGTGCTTCAGCAATCCATTTCAATGCGTGGTGCAATGCATCACAGTTCCTGGATTCTGCTTTGGATCTGCCCCTTGGAGAGACACTAGCAAGTTGGGCAGGCCAGCCCTGAAAGGTGTGTGGGCCTTTGTGCATTCCCAAGACTAGGCAGCAAGTGGTTTGTCAGGCCTGGAGTGTAGTGTATTAATTTATCTTTGCTGGGGAAGGCCTGTCTCTGCAACACAAATAGGGATTTCAGACTGGTACATCATGTTGCTTTAGACAAGAAGAACAAAACAGATCTGTCAGACCTGAATTAAGATGGATTTTTTGTTCAAAGTTCTTGGAATTTATTTCTTTCCAGTTTCCTTCTTGGTAAGTAGTCAGCACAGTTGGGTTCAACTTACAAAATATCATTGATTTCTCTCCCCAAACCACAGATGATTCAGCTTGTAATTTCCTCTACAATTACAGAGCAGGTCTCCTTAGAAACTGCTTGTATCCATTCAAAGTTTCATCTTGTGGAAACCACATTTCCCCCTTCTTTGGCCAGATGTGCTTGGCAGGAGTCGAGACAAAAAAGGAGGAGGAAGGTACAATAAATTTCTCCTGCTCCCACTCCCTCTTTTCTGTTTCCTGAAAGGAGATTCACAGCATTACAATTTCATCTCTCTCTGAGTGCTTTGGGATCTGAGACCATCCCAAGTACTGGGGTTGGCTATGGGGCTGCTTGTGGCTCTGCAACAGAAATTGCCAGCATGTTACATAGCCTTTCTTCTCTAAGAAAGGACAGAGTGCAACACAGAGGTCATGGTTTCTCTACCCTGATACAGTGTCATGCCACCAAAGGCTCATCAAGCCAAGCTGATTGCACAATTTGCTCTGCCTTGGCTGGTTGTCATGTGTTTCTCCTCATATACAACTTCAACAACACACGGGAGAAGTCTCCACCTTCTCTTGGCATCCCCTGTGACCGTTAAAGGAACTCATCCTTGTGCAGGGAGTTCCTGTCATGGAAATTGCTTGGTTTCTGTGTTTGAGAGATAGGCTCATATAAACCGCAGGATTTGGTTTGGACAGATAAATCATGGGACCTAATGATGGTTTGCAGAACTTTGCAAGAGTGAAGCTTGTGCTGGGGCAAGGTCACATGCAGATTGTCTCTAACCTCTGCTCTCCTCTCAGTACTTCTCTGAAAGGTCAAGATAACATTACATTCATTTTACATTTAGAAAAAAAAAAAGTCAGATCTGCCTTAGTAACTGCAAAGTGGGTCTGTGCTGGCAATGGAGGCAAAACTAGTTCATATTTTGATATTCACTGTGCCACGAGAAACCCCCAGAGTGATTTAATTTCAATCATTGCAGTGGCAGTGGATTGACCTTTGAACAAAAGATGTTGAAATCATATCTAGTGTGTGGAAAACTTACATCTGTACCAGTAAAAAGATAGAGAAGGCATAAGGAAAAGATACAAATGAAAGTGATGCCTCTATAGGACAGAAAGTTGCAGGTATGTATAAATGTGTTTCTACATATAACATACACTTCTGGATGTGTATGTATCAATGTGTAGATGCATATGTATGTGCACATATATACTCATATACAAATATGCATAACAGCTATGAAGAGGTATTAAAATATGCAATGAATATTAAAATCCACCACTTATTAAGAATCTGAGAGAGATCTAAGAAAGGATATGTTAAAAAAGAGATAGATACCAGTTTTATGGATGTGTGCTCTTCTTTCCTTTTATTTCTTCTTCTTTTTCTGTATAAAGAGAGAAATACTTGTCCTTGAGGTTTTTATATTATGCCAGCTTTTACCAGCATGGTTCTTTGCTCTGGGAAATGAAACCACTTCCAGTATTATACCTGAAAGCTTTTGTTGTGTGAGAGCTTTTCTTCAAACAGGTGGGTGGGATAAGGTCTTCCCAGTACCTTTATGTACATTGCTTTAAGTGTCTTTGTGTATCAGGCCCTTAATATAAACAATAAATTGAGAAATCATATGGGTCTGGAGGGCAAATTCCTGTCTCAGAATGGGAGGCAGTATAGGACACAGCCATCATCCCAGCATTTCAGCCAGCACTGTAAAGTTGTTTTCTGAGGCTAGACAGGTGTGCACGTGGAGACTTAATTTATGTAATTTTGTGTGTGCACTGTGGTGAGGATAGGCACCTGCTCATCCCTGTGTCAGCTGGAGGGCAACACCTAGCAGAGACTTCACATAAACTGTTCCTTTGGGAGAGGATTTTCACATAATGCCATTATTGAGGTCTGCTGGTAAAACAATCTCATGGGGCTTAGCTGAGAAGCTTTTCAAGCTCTATTAAATTTACATAGGTTCCTACCCATATCTTAAATCCCGTTCAAACATCCTCTTGTACAACAAATACATTCCCTGGTCCCTTAAAAAAGCACTGACACATAGTGTCCATTTGCACAGATGCACTTATTTAAAATCCAAATATTTAGTGAAGGGACTGAAATGACCTCCATTCTACCTCTATACAAATACAGGCTACAAATATACCATTAGGCCCAGAGAAATCTTTTCCTTAAAATTACTCTTGACTCTTACTTGGGCGTGGGATATATTTTGGTGAGGACATACTTTTTACAGACACCACAGACTGGAATCCAGGTCTTCCCTAAGATGGGCAGTGCAGGTAGTTTTCAAGAGCTTGCTTAGTAATCACCAAGATCTAAGTGTCCAGCAGCCTTTTGGGGCACTCTCTCGGAAGTCCATTCTGAAGCATATCCCCAAGATGCTTCTTACAGACAGCACAGGAAATTGAGATCCAAAATCACACCAGGAAACTCCTTCTAGATGAGCTTCTTGATGCGCTGTCTGCAAAACTGCACTTAATTTCAGAAAGCTGCTTTGTCTTCCAAGTAATACAATGCAAGATGTGTTCTGTCTTTTGGGATGAGTGGCAGTAGATGAGGATTATCATGCTTATTCTGCAAAACAAGGGGAAATAAGTGACCAGAGTCTTCTGCCCACTTTTCAGTTTCACCACAAATTTTTGTGAAAGACATCATTTCTGAGTGCTTGCCATTTGCAAAACAGCAGTCTCCACACTGCAGCTAGATGCATAATTCCTACAGGTGCTGATAAACCTCATCACTTCTTTTTTTTTTTTTTTTTTTCAGTTCTTGAATAATCTGTGAATTAACCATGATCATCCCAAATGCACCCATTACCTAATAGTATTCAGTGCACACTTTTGACAAATAATCCCTGGCTTGTCAGCTGTTTGGGAACAGCTATATTCCAAATATTCATGCAGATACATAAGCCATGTTGTATGTATGCATCTTTCTCATCCCTCGATAGAATTAATTCTCAACAGTAGAGTTTCATATTGTGAATTAAAATTTTGTTTTCTATTAATATCTTGTGATACTTATTGGAAAGTTACAGACTCACTCACTCATTTGCTACTCTGTTTTTGGTAAATTGCTACAGAAAGTTAGAGGTGTTCAGGGATCATATCTAAAAATGGGATTTTTAGATTTTCAAGGTTTTCAACAGACTTCACAGCCCACAGCCCCCTGATGCAAGTCAGTGGGACACTGTAATTCCATTTCATTAGGATTTAAATGAAACGTTCCGCCTCTGCCTTATTAGCACAGATGAAGTTGGCTTGTTTGAATCACAAAGCATTTTCAGAGGGTTTTGCTGGATCTGTTCTTTCTGCCTTCATGATGATGTCTGCTGTCTGGTTCTCATAGTATGAACATGTTTTGCTTCCCAAAACCTCTGGCTAATGTCAGGATGCATGATGCTACGCATTTGCACTCCAGCTCTCAGCAGCCCTGTGTGTCCACACAGAAATGGATTTTGAAGGCTGGGCAGGGGTTTCACAGGGAGAATCAGAACAGTCAGATGCATTGCAAAAAAGCAAAGTTATGGACATCTGAAAGAAACATCAGTGCCATGGCTGAGGCAGTGTAAAACACTTAGATCTGTTCCCAGAGCTCTCTGACACACTTTATGTCTCCTCTTCCTCTGCCCCTGTGTTGCTAGGATATTTGTCAACAGAATGGAAATGATACTGTTCCTGTGGAGAAATAGAATTTAATATTAATACTATCTCCTGTGGAAAAGCGAGAGTGAGTCAGAGCTGAATAGAGTTTGGTTTATATATGAAGTCTTCCATTCTGCAAGGTAACTCAAAGCACAGTGCTGTGAATTTAATGCTACCAACTCGGGTGGCTGTGTAGGCAAACACAGCAGGCTTTATGCATTAAGCAGCAACATGCTCTACTGCTGCCATTAGGAACAGTCTCACTAACAAAGAAATAGGGGAGAAATGCTCATCAGAGTCTTTCTCAGTGGGCAGCATTTAATAAGTGCCACAAGAAGCTTTGAATACACACTGGGCTGAAATCAGGTAGGATCATCTTATTTTAAATGGACTCTGCTTTGTCTTTCCAGTCTTGTTTGGTTTCACCTTTATTTATATTCCTCCTCAAAATGAAGCTGTTCTGCTCCTCTCAGCAGTGACGCCTATGTCCATGCTTCTTTTTTTTCCAAGCAAAATAATAGAATACAATTTACAATGTCAGAATTCAATGATACAAAGCTCAAAATAAGCAACCTTTTCCATTTGTTTAAGTGAGAACTCTATCTTTCCTTTCAGTGACCTTTCTGTCATCTTTCACCATATATGTCCCATGTCCTGCCATGT